ATCTTCTCCCCCTTCAAATAAAAGTGATAGGCTCTGAAAGGGAAAGTCTTTGCCTACCAGTCAGCCAAGAAGAGAATCAGAAATTTGCAGGCTGATAGCAAAAATACTTCTTATGTGGAGGAGAGATTTAGGGCTCCCTTTCTTCTTTTCTTCCCTACCAGCAAAGGTTGAGGAATATCTGTGCAGCAGCTGGACAATGTGAATACAGAGACAGAAGCATCATTATACTACCGGGTTCAGAGAGGCAAGAACAGTATGAATAACAGTGGCATCATCCAGGGCGAGATCAGAAGGAGAAGGAATGCAGACCTGTCTCATGGACGACAGAGCTACTCATTTTAGGCACTTGGTGCTAGTTCTTTGTTCAGGCTCTGTAAATTGGTGAGGGCCAGGAGGTATTTCGTTAACATTTCCATATATGTAACGTTTATTTAAAATGAGATATACTGGGTTTGTCAGACTTGCTTACTATATAATTTTAAGTACTTTTCTGCATTTTAAATGGTCTTCTAACAATTTGACATGTCTTTTTAAGGGCATTTCCGTTAAGTTACTTGAAGGGTTCTGTTTTCTTTTTAAGAAATCTGGTGTTAACCTTTTCAGTTTCATTAGCTGTGAGTAATTTTGGCAAAGTTTTAAGGTGACAAAAGAAAACCTTTAAAATGATTCAGAGACTACCAAGAATGTGTCAGTCATTATTTGCCTAACCACAGCTCATCTCTTGCTCTTACCAAGTATGAGTTTAAAAACCTGAAGAAACTTTGGTAGAGCTGAATGAAAATGATACCTCCTGAAGACTTGTTTGTATATATTATATGTAAGATATTCTTACAATTCCATATTTTCACCCAAGACATATTGCTTTTTCTTGCTCATAAAATCACCAGACAGCTTTGAATCTTTGTCTGGGAATGACTTAATCTAAAGATTCAGTATTTATTTTTGTCTTGACTTGCTGGCTAAGAGAAAAAGAAAGATAAGAGACTTCTGAATTTTGAGTTAAATGTATTTGTAAATGTATTTGGCTCAGAATTCAGTTTTGCTTTAGATGTGCCAACAATGCTTATTTCTCCCTGAGTTTGAGGAGTTCCTTTTGATATTATTGAAAATTCAGTTAAAAATAAAAGTCAATTGCGGCACTGTTAACAATAGCAAAGACCTGGAACCAACCCAAATGTCCATCAGCAATAGACTGGATAAAGGAAATGTGGCACTTATACACCATGGAATGCTATGCAGCCATAAAAAACGGTGAGTTCATGTCCTTCATAGGGACATGGATGAATCTGGAAACCATCATTCTCAGCAAACTGACACAAGAACAGAAAATAACATCGCATGGTATCACACATAGGTATGTGTTGAAAATTAGAACACGTGGACACAGGGAGGGGAGCAGCACACACTGCGGTCAGTTGAGGGGGACTAGGGGAGGGACAGCAGGGGTGGGGAGGGCTAACGTGGAGAAAAATATCAGATACAGGTGAGGGGGGGAGGAAGGCAGCAAACCACCTTGCCATGTATGTACCTATGCAACAATCCTGCATGATCTGCACATGTACCCCGGAACCTAAAATACAATAAAAAGAAAACAAATTAGTCAGTTTGTAATTGTAAATTAATTTTTATAACTTGAATTAAAGATTTTCTCTGTAGCATGTTCCTGTCTTGATATTTTATATCTCGTTATGGTTTCCGAAAACTCTTACACATATTATTCATTCTCATCTCACTTACCCTCTGTTGTTTTTAAAAACTGTTCCACATCATAGAGACATTGATTACTGAAAGATTATATCTATATATATCTCCAAGTTTGTGAGTTTCTTCATTTTAATTACTGGTACTGTATGGGCATTATCTTTTCTCTGTCTTCTAAAACAAACAAACAAAATGCCAGGAATTCCATCAAGATCTGGGACACAATTTTGTGCTTTCCCGCGTATCTTTGAGTTATCTCAAATTCCTTGTAACTAGCATTTCCTGACAATGGCATCAGCATTCATGATGTGTCAAGAGTCAGTTATTTGTCATGCCATTTTGATTTTAAAGTGCAGGAAGTCTGTGTGTGTGTGTTTCATACCTATAACATCAAGTTCAAATTTTTCGATTTCCATTAGTGTTTGTTTTATGGTTTAACATGTGATATAGTAATCCCTTTTGGGGAATGAATGGCATTTCTATGTGAAATTGCTAAAGTAAAGCCTATTCCTTTAACTCAATAACTTTTGATTTTACTTATTTTTATACATATATATTTTTTTCCTGAAGAGCATTAGTGCATTCCTGCTTATATAAATCACTTAGTGAGAGCCGCACCAGTCAGCCATACTCACCCCCGTTAGCGTTCTTACATCACTTGTTACAGGTAGCACTTACAAGCTGCATGTTAATTTTCTGTGTTGCAGTCTGCATTCTGCATCTGACGCTGTGCATCTTAAAGGACTGCAACGTGGTTTTCTTATTTGTATCTGTAATAAAATGTGATAGTAACATGGCATTCAGCATGGATTTTTATATGTAGAAAGCATGGACATGAACAGTTTCAGCTTGTCAGTACTCAGGATCCGGTTATTCATATTAATCATTTATGTGTAGAGTAAAAGTATGATGCTCTTCGAGAGAATTTCGGCAAGGTTTTTTCTTCTTTCCATTAATGGAGTCATATGGTTTGTTCTTTAATACTGGTATTTTTTTAACCCATGCTATTGGTGTCCATTTATATCTAACCTATTAGCCCGTTTTGTCAAAGTTTGATGTATACAGCAGCTTAATGTGTGCCAAAACATACCTCATTAGATAATTTATGCAAACTTTGTGATAGTGATTTGCCACTGTTAGTCCTTCCCTTTTTTCCCCCCCTTTTCCTTTCCTTGCCGTTGTTTCATTGCATTCCATTCTGAAATCATGGTAGTTAACCTGAGTTCTCTGTGGCTGACATGGTTAGATTGACTGCTAATGAAGAAAAGAGAAGTTAGTATTTTTCATATACGTACCAGCATACATAGTTCTTCTTCTGTTTTTTGATTAAGTGGGAGAGACTTTGATGTAATCTAGTCTGTCTCTTTTTGTAAACCATTAACTAAGGTAAGGCTTTATATTTTTTCAAACCTTAACAATATGCAGTGCTCCACTATTTTACATTAAAAGTTGCAGAATGTAAATTTGATGTTTGAAGTTTTCATTAGAAGTAGTAGAACCAAAATAGGAAACTATTTTGATATAATGTTAGTGAAAAAGCATATATATAATTTTATATACTGTTATTTTCACTATGTAAAAAGCACATGTATTTTTACAAGAAATGGAAGGGACTGAGCAAAGCTAAAATTCTTTAAGGCAGCGAGTTTATGGACTGTATTTTTGTTTTATAATCTTATCTAATATCTTCATTTTTTTTTAATTTAGAAAAAATTAGAACTTCCTGTATCTTTGGATATTAAGAATGATACCTAGAAAAAGTTGCCTCTTAGAAGCTGTAATTATATACTCTTAATCTTTATTTACTTTTATGCATTAGATATCTTTTGTTTCTGGCTGGCAGATTCCTAGAATTCTTTCAAGGTTCACCTCTAATGTTACCCCCTCCCTACATGAGAAGAATTCCTTCTGTAGGTTTCTAATACTACACTTTGCACACACATGTATTTTAATACTTATTAGATAGTTGCGTATGCATTAGACTTTGTAACAGCCTGGCTAATTGTGAAAACACTGACTGGAGCTAGAACAACGTGGCTTCAAGTCCTAATTCTGCCCCTTACTAGTTTTATGATCATAAGCATATTATCTAATCTTTTTGAGCCTTAATCCTCATCTTGACATTGGGACCTTTGCCACCTATTTTATAAGATTGCAAGGAAGTTTAAAGCATCATACGTAAAGAGGCCAACCCTCTCTGGTAGGTGTCTATTAACTACTTCTCTAATTAAAAAGACTTGGATTCTGTCACTCCTTTCACATTGTACTTTCTTTTCCCAGAATGTTGGCTGGCTGAATCAGGAAGACTTGATCAAGCTGATTACTAAAAATGTCATTAATTTCTTTCTTTATTATGTAACCAGGGTTTTAATCAGCTTGCAGTATTGACTTAGTTTTTTGTTTTGTTTTGGTTTTGTGCAGTCTCTAAGATATTGTTTTTTAAATGTTATTTTCCACACACTTAGAACATTGAGAGATTTGTGTTTTCAGAGACACGTGAAATATCTTTTTGATTGTATTATTTATTTTTATGTTTCTGACAGTAGTTAATGTTTTTCAAACTTTTCTTCATTATCTTTTCCCCAAGCTGCCTTTTTAGACATGTTTTCTTAATTACCTCCACCCATGAAATTTTAATACCACAAATAAAGTATATCTATTTATTTGCAGTACTGTATGTGTATCTATGCTTTGTACTTAATAGAGTAAAACTTTGTCACCCTTCTCCTCAAAGGACCATTTTTCACCCCCTTGGAATGATACCACCCTTGTCAAGAATGCATACTTCAGACCTTTTAGACGTGATCTGATGGAACAGATTAATGGTTCAGTGCTTGGGTTCTAGTTGGATAAGAATGAATTCCGCTTGCTCTGTTGATTAGCTGTGTGACCTTTTGTCAGTCTTTTAGATTTCTAAAGCTTCTCTTCTTCTGTAAAATGGGAATACCACTATTATCATCCTCATTAGGTTGTGCAGTATATCTAGCATATATTAATTGCTCAACATATTAGCTATTACTTTATCATCTTAATAATCATGACTTTAATTTTGTTTATTGGAACTTAAGACCTACTCAGGGTTATCTAAATTCTCTTTATCCGTTTTTAAATATTGACTGCCAAAGGTGTAAGCATTGTTGGTAACATAATAAGCCTATAGACCTCCATAATAACTAAAAGCTAATCAGAAAATTCCTTAGTGTACATATAATTACATGTAGAGTATTAAAAATGCATTTACATGATAGCTTGAACCATAGGTTATTATTTTATTAAATAATTCTGGGTTCTATTTTTAGATATTTGATTTAATGGATGCCAAAGCACGTGCCGATTGTATCAAAGAAATAGATCTTCTTAAGGTAAATAATGAACTGTTGACTGTTTTGAACATAACTGGACATGGTGATAAAAGTGATTTACTAAAACATCACACTTAAACACAAAAAGATTTTTAAGGCTTACACTATATTGATTTCAGCTAATATTATGTAAGGTTGAATCTCAGTATATTGAAGAGTATAGTTATTTTTTGGATTTATTGTTAAACAGTGTAATCAGAACATTTGGTAGGATCAGCTTTTTTTTTCTCATTTCAAACTAGGAAATAGATAAAATGGGCATAAAACACTGAAGATTTTTTTTTCTTGACCACCCCAACAGGACATATTCCAAAGGTTAAGTAAAATAAATACAAATTCGTATTATCTCCACATGTATTATATTGAGAATGTGGACTAATCCAAATGGTTCACATGCATCTTCTAATATTTTAAAACCTTTTTCCAGATTTACAAAGAATGCATATAAAGAGTATGCCAGGAATTAGCTTTTTAGTTTTTCATCCACTGAGAATATGACTGAGATTTCAGTTATTTTTGCACCGATTCTTTTCTAGTGAAGTTTCTTTTGAGAAATGCTGTGGCTTGTGTTATATTTTTAGCTTGTAGCTAGGGCTTGGTTATTTTTTTATGCTGTCCATTTGTGTTAGTGCCTAAGATGAACCAGATTTATGCAGAAAGGAAAAGAGTAAGGTCAAAATAAACTGTTTTCTGACTGTTTTGTTAATTGTAGTTATTTCCTGGCACATGAAGTAGCTGGCTTAAATATGTATAAACTTTTGCTGTAGAAATAGCATGTCATCATAGGAAATCTGGGGAGAAGACTTTAAGTAGGAGAAAGTTACCCGTACTTCCTACATAATTTCTCTGAGAAACAATTCATCTTGTATTAATGTGTTCAAAGATTGAACAAAAAGATTGTAAATGAGTAGGGACTGATACCTATATTTCTACAAGGTAAAATTTTTCTTAGGGATGATTTTATGAATTGGCTCACATAAATAAGTCTTGTATACTTATCTAATATAAAAGCAATAGTTAGATATAGTATAGTAGATACCAACTGTGTTTTGTCTACTAGCTGGAGTTATTCTAGGACCAGCCGTAACTTCAAAGTGGGAGTAAAAAGAGATACTTTATTTATCATTGAGTGTTCCTAAATGAAAGTTCTAATTTTGAAGGATGTAATTTTTAGCAGTTGGTGACCTAATTTTGTCATTTACTTCTTGCATCTGTTGATATGCTTATTGGGCATAGCAGTACTTTTGAATTAAGATTTAAGTATAAAATATATTATTCCTAATAAAGAATATTAAGATAAAATTAATTTATACCTGGGGTTTACTTTTAATAATTGTCATATTTGTTTCAAAATTCACTAAAGAAAAATATACTGTCATGTTCAGATTTCTGTAATTTAAAAAATGCAGTTAAGTTTGTTCTTAAGTTGCAAAACTGTAAGTGATTCTAGGAAAAAAACCTTCTGATGCCTGTTTTATTTTCTCAGCAACTCAACCATCCAAATGTAATAAAATATTACGCCTCATTCATTGAAGATAATGAACTAAACATAGTGTTGGAACTGGCAGATGCTGGCGACCTATCCAGAATGATAAAGGTAAGTTTTTAAAAAATGTTAACGTTTTGGTTTTGTTTTTTTTCCTAATAGAATTGTCTATTAAACTGTATATAGGGATATTAGGTGTTTTAAACTAAAGACCTCATTGTAGGGCTTATCTGGTAGATATGTAATAAATAGTAGATGGTTAGTGATCGTAATTCTGAAACTGGTTTACTTGGTGATATTTAAACACTGGTCAGCTTAAAAATCTCAACCCCAAAACCAACTTGGAAAGAGGCCAAGATACTTGTCTTCTGTAAGTCAAGTTACACTTTTGCTGTTTGATTCTCTGAGCAGACCCTGCTTGATCCTATGTCTCTGGACATGAGTAAAAGAGGTAGAAAGCGATTCTAGAGCAGCCTGACCTATTTCTGGGAGGGATCCATCAAAGAAAGTGGGATTTGCAGTCAGACCTTGGATATCAACCCCTACCTTGGCCACATAAAAGTTATTTAACTTTCTTTTCTAAGGGCATATTAATTGGCTTTAAGTTCAGCTGCAATTAATAGAAACCTGTTATTTTCTAAAAAAACACAATAATAATAGAACCTATTTCACAAGATTGTTGTAATGGTTGAATTAACATTTATTAAGAACTTAGAAGAATGCCTCACACATTGTAAGGCTATGTAAATGTAGCTGTTGCTGCCATTATTATTGTTTATTGTTCTTTCTTCTCTGTCACATAAAAGTTGGGCCAGTATGGTAGCTCTGCTCTATCAAAATTACTTTAGCAATCCAGCCTATTTCTAGCTTATTAAGTCACACTAGGCTTCAAGGGACAAAGAGTACATTCAGGCTTTCTCTTAAAGCACATTCCTGAATGCTGTGAGCCACACAACATTTTCAGCTTCATTCCCTTGGCCAGAACGTAGTCTCATGTACCTATCCAGCTGCAAGGAAGGCTGGAAAATAAACTCTTCATTCAGCCAACAATGCATCTAACTAAACTTCTGTTACTATGCAAGAGAAGTTGAACCATCTAGAAACAGAGAATAACTGAATGAGAAAAACAAAGGCTATTTATTCAAGCTTGCTGTAGCAAGGGAGTCAGCCAATCATCACCTGCATCTCGGCAGAGAATTAAAAGCAGGCAAAGGAATGAAAGATTTAGAGAGGGAAGAAAAGGGAAGCCTTTGGGGATACCCTGATGGAAGGATGCTGGCATGGAGAAGCCATAGACCAGCTGACTAGAAATAGGGCATCTTTGTGATTGGTTAGAAGTTCATACTTGGCTTTCTCTGGTTGGCCCTACTTAGAAGAAGTGACAAAATTAGGGAAGCTGTCAGTTATTAATCAATCATTATAGACGTTAATGTTTAGCTTCCTAGATTGTCACTAGAGATAGCAGTCTGGCTTCCTGCAAGTCTAGATTACAGCATGCTGGCTTCCTGGGTTGTTTACTGTAGATAATGGCTGTTTTCCTGGGTAGATAGGCACAGATAGATGGATGGATATGTGTACATACATTAGTACATATGTCTTTAAAAATATATGTAAACATACTACATATTATAGTACTTAACCATCATAATAACACTATATGACAGATATTACCGACCCAATTTTATTTATATGGTTGTTCCTTTTTCTCCTTCATTCCCATGTCCCAGAAATAACCTCTAACCTTTATGTTCATAAAACCTTCCCAACTCTACTTGCTATCTTTATATACATTTAAATATAAAAATCTATACTAATTATGCATTCTTTCTCAGACAATAAATAATCACAATTTATTTTATTTTTGCTTTGTTAATAATTGGATTGTTTTCATTCTTTATTCTTACAGAGAAATCTCAAGTACAAAGCCTTATATGCATCAGTACAACTATATCTATACGTACTCTATTGTCTATTTCTACCATATAGATTCATATAAATAATATCACTGAGTAAGAGTATGCACATTTTAAAACATTAAAGCTATTGCCAGATTATTCCCTTCAATAGTTAATACCAATTGGTAGCTTTAAAAAAAATAGCTTTATATTTTATTTTTTCATTTATTAGACATTTTACTGTGTGCCACGTACATGGTTTATTGCCTTTTGGAACTCATTGTCTAGTGGGAGAAATAGGCATTTGACAAACACTAATATAAAACTATATACCTGCCGTTTAATAGGTTATATAAACAAAAGTGTGAGTTATAACGGATAATTATAACAGGACATCTGAAACTACAATGGTGAATTCTGATGGCAGTTAAAGGATTTTAATCAGTGGTCCTATATAATCTTGATCAAGTTATTTAATCTTAATGATTGAGCCAGTTTCCACATCAATAAAATTGGATCAGTAATACCTGTAGTACAGGGTTATTATGTTGGTTAAGTAATATAGTATGTTTATATATATACTTTTTAAAGACATATGTACAAATGTATGTACACATACCCATCATCTATTCCTGTATTCATGTATGATATCTGATAAGTATTTACATTTTCTTTATTCCATTTACACCTCTGATCACTACTCTTTTTCTAGCCTCCTTGGATCACAGAATACCCTTTTCTACTCTTCGAAATTGACTTCATTCTTCCAGTTTTACAGAGTAAATAGAAGTCACCAGACAGGAGCACCCTCACTTTCCCATGACTAAACCCGATAGACCTACTTGTGTCTGTTGCTGTTCTCCCCTCCTTCTCTCCTGTTACCATATTCTTGTTAGATTGGAGGGATTGTTCTGTGCCCCTCCACCTGAGTTCTCTGTCCTTTTTCTGCCTGTATTTTCAGAAATCCTAATTCCTATCATTATCTGTTCCCAGTCCTAGATCCACAACCATTGTGCACTTCTGAGTTCCTTCTCTTATCATTTAAATATTCTCAGGTCACTGTTATTTTAAACATGTTTATATGTATACACATGTACACATACCTGTCTTTCATTCATTTATTCATTGAAGAAACTTATTTTCCAGTGGGAAGTCAAATAAAATGCTAAAAGCAAGTACAATAAATGATATGCCAGATGTTCATAAAATCAATGAAGAAAAATTAAAGAAAGGCAATAAGGAGTTTGGAGCAGGTGTGTTGCTATTTTATTTAATTAATTTATTTATTTATTTTGAGATGGAGTCTTACTCTGTCACCCAGGTTGGAGTGCGGTGGTGTGATCTTGGCTCCCTGTAACCTCCGCCTCCTAGGTTCAAGCAATTCTCCTGTCTCTGCCTCCCTAGTAGCTGGGATTACAGGCGCACGCCACCATACCTGGCTAATTTTGTGTTTTCAGTAAAGTTGGGATTTCACCATAATGGTCAGGCTGATCTCAAATTCCTGACCTCAGCTGTTCACCTGCCTCAGCCTCCCAAAGTGCTCAAGTGAGCCACTGCAGCTAGCCTTTGTGTTGCTATTTTAAATAAGATGATCTCAGAAGATCTTAAATCCTTCTACCCTCTCCTCTGCCTACCTTTTCTTTCAGTTACTACCCTAGTTCTTTTTTTTTCCTTCACAGACACTTACTCCTGACCCTCTTTCCAACCTACCACATATGATGGCTCTTCAATGACCTCTCTCCTGAAAGCCAGAGGACTTTGCCCAGTCTTCATTCTGCTTGATCTCTCAGAAGCATTTGGCTCTGCTTTTCATACTCTTCTTTCTAAAATACTCCTCCACTGACTTACTGAGTCCCACAGTGTCTTGATTTTCTTCCTCCCTCTCTGGAGACTATCATTTTTCTTAACTGAGTCATTCTTTACTTCCTGGCCTTTAATGATGGAATTTTAAGTTTCCGTTCTTTTTTTTTTTTTTTTTTCGAGTTCGTACTCACATTATAGCTGACCTCATTTATACCTATGGATTCAATTACTGTCTATACTCTTGTTGACTTCCAATTTTTTATCTTTAGCATGGAGCTGTCTTTAAATTCTGACTCTATGTGGCTCAATATGTCTGTAAACAAAGTCCCTATAGACTACCCGTCCTCCCATGTTCCCTAACTTGAGGCTTGGCACCAGTTTATCTAGTTGTGCACTCTGGAAACCCGGACTCATATTTGACATTTCAGTCTCCCTTACCTCTTCTTTTCAATCTCACCAGATTCTGTTTATTTTTTCTTCTAAATGCCTTTCCACTTTCCCCACCCGGCTCCCTGTCCATTACTCCACTGTCACCTCTCATTTGGAGAGAGCCAGAGCTTTTTAATTATCTCCCAGCATCCGGCACCCATTCCTTAAATCTGTTTCTCCATCAGTCTTTAAGATGGTAGAGGGGAGAGAAAAATGAAAAACCTCCTTTCAATAAAATCTTTATAGGGTTTCACTTTAAGAGTAAAGACTAAAATGTTTGATAAGATTGAGTAATCCTTGTATGATACAGAAGATAAGCTCCCTCAGAGAGGATCAGATTCTGTTTTATGTATTCACATATCTCAAGTGCCTAGAGCAGTGCCTGGCACAGAGCTTGTGCTCAGCATGTATTTGCTGTAGAATATAACTCCTGTTTTCCCTCTTGCTGTGGCACGTTGGCCTTTCATTTCCTTGAATGTGTTTTATTTTTTCCTTTTGCAGGGAATTCATGTATGCAATTCCATCTACCTGGGATGTTCTCCATTCTTGGCTGACTTTCTGTTTGTACTTCAGTTGTTTACTTAGTTATCACTTCTTCAAGCATTTTTCTTTGACTCGGAGTGTTTTATGGTATAAGTGCTCTCAGAGTATCCTTCCTACATAGCACTTAGTAATATAATCATGTATTTATGTGTGTAATTATTTTATTGATGTTTGTATTTCCCATTAGACTTTAATTTCTGTTGAGCACAGAGAGACCATGTTGGCTTTGCTTGCCTGGCTATCTTCAGTTCTTTAGTTTCTGGGAAGCCACTAGCTGATAGTACAGACTTCAGTAAATTTGTAGTAAATCGATGTATAGGAGTTGGTTATTTTACCTCTGTTACAGTCTGTTCCAGGGCTCAGTAGATAACATGAGTGGTTGTATAACACTCACAGTGATTTCTTCCTGGTTTACACTCTGGTCTCATAGAGAGTTGCTGT